TAGAGGCGGTGCGGATAAAAGCAAAAGAAAACTAACTCATGGACATGGACAACAGTGGTGATTTTGGTGGGGGTGCGGAGTTATGGAAGAGGGAATACTGGAGATAAATGGTGATGGAAAAGATAAAATTAAATTAAAAAAAAGAAAGTACATATTGTATTTGTATACATGCATGTCTTCAGTAATGTATTTTTTGAAGCCATCAGTGTGTAACACTGCTATTTAAGTGTCTGTAAAATTACTTAAAGTGTTCTACAATGGATTTTCCAGGTTTGAACTTCTTGTCCTGGAAGCTGTGCATCACCATAATGAGGCTTGTAATTCTTGATAACTATGACTTGGCTAGTGAATGGGCAGCCAAATATATATGTAATCGCATCATTCAGTTCAGACCTGGAAAGGACAGATATTTTACACTGGGTTTACCAACAGGTAATACACCATTTCCCCTGCCGTTTTAGATACTTAAGGTTATGGGATTGAAGGGTTTCCTTTAGTAAAATATGTCTCCCATTTATTTCTTGCCATATCACTGATTGAACATATTAGTAGATAAAGCTGGAAATAAATAAATCTGTCTGTCTATATTTTGTCACTGTTTTTTTGTTTAAGTCCTGTCACCTACCACTCCAAAAAGGGAAATATCCTAACTTAAATGATAGTCATAGTATTTTTTGTACCTTTTTTTGTTAGAGTTTTATCTGTTTTTAAGGATGTCACTTTCACTATTCATATAATTTCTTAGTAGGTTAGCCTTCTTATTAACCATTTAAAGGTCCCTAGAGTATGTCCTGTCACTGCTTAATTGTACCTTAGCTGCCTCATATTATCGTATTAGCCCTTTGCTATTTCTGTGTTTATTTTCTATTATAGAAGTATTATAAGTGAAAATTTGCATATTGGTGTATTTTCATGACAGGATAAACATAAGCATTCATTTCATATTTTTTTGGATTTAGTTCTCTGTTATGTTTCCTCCTAAAAATTGACCAAACAGTGTCATTGATCTTGTGGCACTTTGATATTGTAGACTTTCTCAGGGAAGAGTATTGGACCTGGAATCGAGCTGCTACTTTCTTGGTTACTGCAAGGCATTTGTTCTTCATCCCTAAGCCTAGGTTTCCTTACTTTTTGGAAAGATAAGGATAACAACAGCTTACAGTCTATTTTGAGGCTCAAATGAGAGTACTTGTGCAAGTCTCTTGTATACTGTAAATGCTATATAAATTTAAAGTTCCTATAAATGTGTTTTTTTAAACAGTATATTCTCCTCCTCATACATACATAAAAAGTACAATTATAATATTTCCCATTTGCATAATTTCCATGAAAGTTACCTTTAGCCCAGCAAGTTGATTTTTTTAAAAATCTGTTGTGGTTTTGCTCTTTGTTTTTTGGTCCAGTGCAGTAGATCTAGATGAGAATGGCAAATAGGGACTTTCTAAAATTGTATACACCAGCACTAGGCCTCCTCAGCAACCACAGTTCTGATATGTGAGCCCCAGTGGTTGAACTGTGGCCTTTGTATTAGTTTCCGTACTGTCAACCTGGGCTGCATTCATGCTAGCTAGCTTAATCACTGTCTTAATTATGATACAGAAATGAACAGTAATTTGAGAGTGAGGGCCGAAAGGCTGCAGAGTCATAAATGCCAACAGTGCTAAACATGTTTTTGTGTATTTAGATATACAACTTTTGCTTTATTTTGGATAGTGTAACTGCCTAGTAATATGTCTGCCAAGGGTATATCTCTGGAAAATCTTTGTTGGTGTTTCTCGCTTTTCTCGTTCATTGACCATCGACAGTGTTAATCATGACTCCCTCCCTGTGCTTTTGAAATTTGAACATATAGTTCTATAATTGCAAGTAACATGATGTACTGTAATTATCGTCCAACCAAGCACAATTTCTGAGGTATATCTGCTCAGTATATATTCATTGAAGTGATTTTAACAAGCTTGACAGTTAAGGGCCTGCTGCAGGCCTGACCTACTTCCCTGACCTAGTCCCATCGTTCCCCTACACTGAATCATGACAGACAAATTAGGCAGCTTTTAGTTCAGAGAATAGGCCTCAACGTGCTGGCTTTATTTTCACGCATGTTGCTAGCGTATTCCATAGTGAAAATTATATGAGCTCTGGAAGCAGTCTTTTGAATGTCTGGCTTCACTGCCATGTGATATATGGCAAATATCACGTATTTTGGAAAAATATCCTTAATGATTTTTACCCAGTTCTTTCATCTTCTTAATGAAAAAGACAATGCCAGCTTCTCAGGGTTGTGAGATATACATGAGCTAATGTATAAAAACACTAGCAGTTATCTTTATTGTGCTGTATCATGAAGGACTGTCAAACATCTCTTAATTTTATAAGACATGAAAGAATTACATTTATAAAACAATAAAATCAGGAACTCAGATGAAGTGCCCAAAGCCAAGTTCCCCATTCCTAGAAGTCATTTTACATTATAAATTTAGCTGAAGATACATGCTGAAGATAACACATAATGATAAATGAGATAAAGGAACTCCAGTTAAAAACTTACAGGCTAAGGTTCCTTACTCAGTCCTTGCCAGTTTCAGAGGAGTCTATTTTGAAAGTAGGGAGTGTTTAGCTTTGGTTTTCCTTTTGATTTCAATGCATGGTAAATACTTGATCCACTTATGTGTCATTTATGCTACAAATTCAACTTTTTTCCTCTAAAGGTAGATGCTTTCTTTTAATTCACATGTGTTTTCTAAAAGTTTCTAATCTTGGAATATACAACATTAATTCCAAGTACCTAACAACTCAATAATAATTTTCTGAACTATAATTTTCTGTTGACAGATTTCCAACTTTATTAGCAAATTCTAGTTTAGTAAAATTTCAAAGTACCTTGAAAAGAGACTAATTCAACATATATTTAATTGAATACATATTTAAATTAATAATTGTTTGCCTAATAAATTAGAAATATAGGATAATGTTAATGTAAACTTTTAAATTCGATTTCTAAGTTATGTTAGAAAATGTAATTTTTATCTGTTTTAGGGAGTACACCATTAGGATGTTATAAAAAACTAATAGAGTATCATAAGAATGGAGACCTCTCTTTTAAATATGTGAAGACCTTTAACATGGATGAATATGTAGGTAAGCTATATTTGAATATATGATTTGGATATATATTATATTTTAAATAAAATGAATACATTTTGAGAATATTTAATTGAAGTTATGTTTTGACTATAATATGAATATAATTTATAGCCTTGTGATGAGGTTGGGAGTTTAGTATCAAAAAATTTATATTTTTGCGGTAACAGCACAATATAGTAGAAGGGATATGGAACTAGAAGGGATATGGGACTAGAAATCAGAAGATCTTCAGTTTACCAGTCTTGTAATTTTGATCTAACCTGTTCACATTCCTCATTCTCTTTTTTATTTTTCCTTAAGGCAAAGTTAAAACCAGTCTTGTGGGGAATAAAGTAATGTGTATGTAAAAGTAATTAGTAAAATAAAGATTTTTCCAAGTGTAAGGCTATTTATATTTGTAACTGTGGAAATTTTATAATTTATTAACTGATAACTTGCTTAACTAGGAATATCTGTGATGCATATAAACTGTTAACATTTAAATATAATAAAACATTTTTAATGGTAGCCTAAGTGATAGCTAAAGAACTGTTGCAAGTCAGTATACCTTGTAGGCATATAGGAAGAACACAGGAGGAACATGGACCCACATTTTAGTTGTGTGATTAATTTATGTTGAGATTAACACACAAATCAGTTCATTGATTAAAATTTTACATGTTTGAGAAATGGAATATAGTGACTAAATTTTGCACATGAACTAGACTTCTGTGTTTGAATTCCAGTCGCTCTGTGAGCTATGTGACTTTTAACTTTTCTGTGCTTCTGTTGTTCATCTATAAAATGGGAGTGATGATAATATTCCCATAGATGTACAAATTAATTGAGTTTATACATACATGCACAGTGGTTAAAATAATGCCTAGCATATATTCCACATAAAAATGCTTTTAAATTAAATATGGTATAGAAAGGTTATGTATTTTAAATAGCATTTAGAGCTTAAATCAGAAAAGTAAATTTTAGATTTATTCCTGAAAATAATTACATTTTTATTTATTAACTTAATATTTAGGACTTCCCAGGCATCATCCTGAAAGCTACCATTCTTATATGTGGAATAACTTTTTTAAGCATATTGATATAGATCCTAATAATGCTCATATCCTTGATGGGAATGCTGCAGATTTACAAGTAGAATGTGATGCATTTGAAAATAAAATAAAAGAAGCTGGAGGAATTGATCTTTTTGTTGGAGGTATGTAAAACATTTTGTCATTATCATTTGTTGATATTTGGATTAGGTGCAATGAATTAAAAAAAAAATCTTACCATTGTGTAGTGTAAAGAACACCACATACATTTATTCAGTTACTGATTTCTATTTTACTTTATTTTAATCAAAAAATAATCTTAAGTTTGCAGGTTGGAATTGTTTAAATTATGTCTTGAGAAATAGATCCCAGTCCCTGCCATGTTCTTCTAACTACCTCTTTAGAACTGACAGTGCACCACATCTTATAAAACAAGTGATGAGTTTCTTTTTCTAGATGATATTATCTATTTCTTTAACTCCAATCCAGCTTTCTTGTTAAATTACAGGGTTAAATCTCTAAAAGTTTGCATGTGGAACAGGTGCATTTTAGCATTTCTGTACTGGTCACTTAAATTACTTTATCTCACTGAGAAATCAGTTAAGAACGATGTAAGATTTTATTAGCAGCCTTTAGTTAATATGAAATTAAGCTGTATAATTACCTTAATAAACTCCAATAGTCTTGCTGGATACCTTTATAGGTAACTCGGTAAAAAAGCAGGGAATTTAGTAAATTAAGGAACAGTGATTTCAACATACACAGTTCAGAGAGAAAGAGAAGGCTGAATTAACACTTGAGGGAGTACCAGCTACATACCAGCCACTGTGTAAGGCATTTTATACATGTTTTAACATGGTTAAATGTGATTAAATGTTGAATTGACTAAATTCCACTTGAAATTTATGTCTCTGTGTATGTGTATGTGCATAACTTTCATTGAAAATATGTAGAAGAGTTTTTCCTTTGTAATGACAACAGTTTTCTGTCATCAATGTGAAGCATACGAGACAGCTAATTCATCACCATCAAAATAGTGTGGTAACATTAGAATAACATCACTTACACTGAAGCTAAAATAGTTTTTTGGCAGATTCTTTAGTATTCAACTAAACATACTGATGCTCTAAATTAACATTAAGTTTTCTTGATATATCTTATAATTAATTTATTAGAAGACTGCTGAAAATTACATGAATTAGATTTTCAGTAGAGCTGTATGAGGTTAATTTATGATTGAGGTGGCCAAGTATGGTTGAGGTGGTTGGTTGCCCTTAGGGAAAATTGGGTTTTATAATCAAACATAAATTTGCATGCTTTTTTGGCCACTTATTATCTGTATGACCTTGGGAAGTTAATTGAAGTTCAGTATAATTAAGTCATTTGTAAAACAGGATTAATGTTAACCATTCCATAATTTGTGAGAATTAACCATGTTAAAACATGTATAAAATGCCTTGCATAGTGGCTGGTATGTAGCTGGTACTCCCTCAAGTGTTAGTTCAGCCTTCTCTTTCTCTCTGAACTGTGTATGTTGAAATCATTGTTCCTTAATTTACTAAATTCCCTGCTTTTTTACTGAATTACCTATAAAGGTATCCAGCAAGATTGGAATTGTCTCTTTAAGGAAATTTTTCTCTCTGCCTAGCAGAACAAATATTAATGACTTTCTTGTGTAGATAGAATGATTTTTATTTGAGCAAGAATTCAAGTTAGACTATCTTGCTTTTAAATAAAATTTGCTAATATTACCTCAGTATTGAATTTGCACTCCACTTTTGTCCATTGTGGCTTATTTCTGAGATAATTACTATTTGCACCTGCCAGTATCAAGGCTAAGGCAACAGACATTTGAGAATGTTTAAGAAGTGCACTGCCCATGTGTTCTTTAGGTTTTCTAAACTCCACACCAATATCTAGTAGAATTACTGTAATATACCTAAACTGTTTATCTTAGTTATATCAATAAATATTTTCACTCACAGTTATATAAAAAGGCATGTAGTTATTAGAGATTCATTATTAAAAATGGCTACATGAAAAATGTCTTTTTTTACTTATTACTCATTGAGGACTTTTTCCCCTCTTAATTTATTGACTTTACAGAAGGATCCACGTGGCAAATCCCTTAGGGACTTGTCAGGAATTTACTGGGGAGAAAACTGATAAGAACACTTTATCTTCAGTATGTTCTTTTGCCTCCTATCCAGAAAGCATCTATAGCCTAAGATAATATTTAAAGCTGTATCTCCCTTTTCAAAGATTTCTAGTAGAGCTTTTTTCTTTCCCCATAGCTTTAATTCACTTCTCATTTCCTTTTAGTTAAAGTTTTTTGGTGCATTTCCTCACTATAAGCCACCTTCTCCCTTTGAAACAAATGGTACATAAATTATAATTATTTATCACTGACTTTTACTACTATAGAGAAGTTTACTTTGTTTTTTTAACCAATTTTTGTCTTAAGCTTTTTGTAGTAGCGCTCTCCCCACAAAAAAATTTAAAGGGATTTTCTTCCCTCTTCCATTAATAGTGTCATTTATAGTCACATGATGGTCCAGGGCCTGAAAGTTTATATTTACCATTCAAAGGACATAATTACTCTGTGTATAGGGAATTGGGGAATAAAGGGTTAGCTTACAGCATTTTCTTTGAACTTTTTCCTGTTTGGGACATCCTATTATTGGATGAGTACAAATGAAAGAATCTCATTAGATTCTTTGCCTTTGTTGATCTAGGTTTGTTATCTATCATTGGATTTTCAAGATGAGGCTTGGTATCTGGGTCTTACCACTTACCCTTCTTTTATTCCAGGGTTTGTTTAATAAAAACACTAAGAACTGAACCAAATGGGATCAAAATATCAGCTTTATTAAAGGTAAAGTTGGATTAGAGATTGCAGGTTGGGCTTGAGGCCAAAATGGGGAGTTTAAGAATTTTAATCCCCCATCGATCCCTCCTGGGGGATGCAGCAGGAGTTCCCCTTCCCTGCGAAGAACAAAAGGGGGAAATGCACTCTCAGAAGCTCTCATTCCACAACTGGTGACAGAAGTGTTGAGAGAAAGAATAAGGTGTATCATGCCATTCGGGCCCACTCAGCAATAAAGTACACACACATGGAATTTTATAAATACACTCCAAAAGCATTATTAGCTTTAAAATTATCTTAAGATAATTTGTTTTTAAAAAGAAAAAATAAGACAGTGGGGAAAACCTTAATGCTTTCTTTTGGTTTTACTATTAGATACTTTGGTTTGCAAGTAACAATAATCTGCTGAGACCAAAAGTGAATTAATTGGAATGATTCTAGAGTATTTCACAGAACTGATAAAAAAGCTGGGGGGGGGAAAGTTGAAAAAAAACACCCAAGTCTTTGGAAGAAGAACCAAGGAGCCTTAGGTCTCTGAAGCAGGAACTTGTCAACCCTCTCCTGCAGTGCTTCATCCAGTGCCTCAGCCCTGGGTACCTTTTCTCTCTGTATCCCTGGTCAAGCTTCAGAATTTTTGGAGAGGCATTCTAATTGTTTCAGGTTGGGACAACTGCTTATCCCTAGACCACAGTCATCCTGCCTAAGAGACATATAGGTATGATTGTTCTAGCCCCTGTTGTGAGGGGAGCAGAGCAAGGCAGAAGCAGCAGGGAGAAACTATGAGCATATCAAAGAATAGCAACCATCCATTCATTTATTCGGCCGTTATTTAGTGAGAGCCTACTGTGTGTCATGTGTCGTTCTAAATGGTAAGGATATAGTAATGAAGAAGATAAAGTTTTTATTGTCATGAAATTTACAGTCTTCCTCACAAAACTATAGGAACACAAGAAAGACGTACAGGGTGGGGCAAAAGTAGGTTTGCAATTAGTACATAAAACAGTTTATTTTTGTATCTTATTTATTACTTACTGTATTTCTTATACGTACAACTGTAAACCTACTTTCGCTATATATGTTTTAATGTTTCATAAAGTTCTGATATCTTGGTTTCAGTTTAAAAACTGAATAAGAATTAGCTATGGTTTTCAGAGTTTATGATTATTTTAAGAAAGTTTTATAAAGCTTTGTAAAACATTATGTGCACTTAAAAAATGCAGTTTTACATTAGGAACTCAGTTTCTGATAATTACTGGTGGTCAGCAAAGGAATGTATTGACCCTTCTCCACCACAGACCATTGCTGATAATTTCAGTTTTGCTATACACGTTTAAATGACCCAAATCACCAGTGAGACCACTAATGTCGATCTTGGAGAACTTCTTAATTTTCCCAGAACTTTTTATTTTCTTGGTTTCATCCTTTCTTCTTTATACATATGTAGAGAAATATAAGTATGCAGGAAGATACATACTTAAGACATGAAACAGAATAGTTTTACAAATCTAGAGAGAGATGCATATCTATAATTTAAAACTTGTATTTATAAGCAGATACATACTTAATAGCGGAAACAATCTATACATATTAACCACATGTAGGTCTGGCTTGATGTCTCCACATTAAAAATTCCTAGATTGTTGTACTTTGGTGGTAGTATACTTGCTTCTTAAGGTTTTCATTTCTTTTTTCTTTCAAAACCAGGTTACTCTTTGACATATTTTACTTTGTCAGAATTGTGTATTAAGAGTCAGTAAAATACACATATCTATCATTAAAGTAGGTATGAGGATTATGAATGTAACAGATATTTTGACTCAGAGAACCAGTGGGTTTAATTTTCAGTTGAGGTTGCCAGAAATCTGACTAGCTATTGTAGGGTACATGTAAATGAAACTTGATTATGCCATAGAAAGATTCTTGATTTTATAAAAAGACATATGTCTAATTTTCTTCAAATAAGGAATGTCATATTTTTACCTAAATTTTAAAGGCAGTCCTAAAATATTAGAGCTGGCAGTAGATCTCCTTGAAACAGTATTTTCAAGTTGTGGTTGTGACCCATTAAGTCATGAAATCAATAGAGTCAGTCACATCTAGTGTTTCCCTTTTGTATGTTTTGTGAGTGAAATGGAATGTAATCCAAAGTAGCTTGTATGGCTCCTAGGGAAGGTATTGTTTCATGCAGCTTTTGTTTTAATTATATTTATGTGTGTATGGATGTGTATATGTACTAGATTGCAGCATCAGATGTACTTCTTACAAGAGGTTACAGTAGTTTGAGTAAAACTGCTGCCTTAGATAATATCTTGTCGAGTCCAGACATTTTTATAAGTGAGAGAGCTGTTCTACAGGGAGGAGGAAAAGTTAATTGCACCTAGACTAGAACCAAGCAAGTTAAAGTGTGAGTATAAAGACCACTGGGTAGGAATCAGAAAATTTAGATTTGAGTCACCTTAGTAGTTAGTAAATTATTACTTTGAACAAGTTATATGTTATCCTTTAGCATTGCCTTTTGAGTTTCCTTTTGAGCTTAACCAAAGGTGGGGAGACAAGGTAAATAGATATGCCTAATCAATCTCACAAGATCGTTAATTATCTGTTGTTGAGATGACACATGTGAAAGTGCTTTATAAGTGTAAAGTGTTACTCTAATATAAGGAGATACTTAATTTTACTGCTATTGGGATCGTGCTAGTTCATTGCTAAACATATGAAAACCATTGAAGTCCTTGTTGAATCAAATACAGGAACAAATATTTTAATGCATTAGAAGTTCAGCTATCAAACAAGGTAAGCATGATTGTAACTTTTTCTTTGCTCTTAAAAACATGTTGAACTTTGAGACCCTTATTTACTTACCTATATTTGTGTATTTCTTTTGAAAGGAATTGGTCCAGATGGTCATATCGCTTTCAATGAGCCAGGATCCAGTTTAGTATCAAGGACACGTTTAAAGACTCTAGCAATGGACACCATTTTGGCAAACGCTAAATATTTTGATGGAGATTTATCGAAGGTGCCAACTATGGCTCTAACAGTTGGTGTGGGGACAGTGATGGATGCTAGAGAAGTAAGAATTGAATGTTCTTTAATGTTTTTTCTTTGATATCAATAGATATTGGAGGAATTATGGTGCCACATTAATGATAAGTTTTGGTTCCATCCTATTCATGGTTTTAATTGCCTTCTAGCTTTTGGTAACTTCTGCCAGTCTCATGGCCATGTTCAGAATTCAGCTAAGTCTTTTTTCTTTATTGTATTTATTGGGGTGACACTGTTTAACAAAGTTACAGTCTTCAGGTGCACAATTCTACAACACATCATCAGTACACTGTATTGTGTGTTCACCACCCTGTCAGGTATCCTTCCATCATCATTTATCCCAGCTATACCTCCCCCCAGCTGTCTGCCTGCTCTCTGACCTGAGTCTCTGTTTTACTTGTTAGTTCATTCTGTACATTAGATTCCACATGAGTGAAATTGTATGGTACTTGTCTTTCTCTGACTGGCTTTTTTCACTTAGCGTAATGCTCTCCAGGTCCATCCATGCTGTCCCAAAGGATAAGAGATCCTTCTTTTTTACAGCTGCGTAGTATCCCATGTACCACCATTTTTTTTATCCACTCATCTACTGATGGGCACTTGGGCTGTTTCCAGATCTTAGCTATTGTAAATTGTGCTGCTATGAACATAAGGGTGCATAAGTTCTTTCTGATTGGTGTTTCGGGTTTCTTAGGATATATTCCCAGAATTGGGATTGCTGGGTCAAAAGGCAGTTCTATTTTAATTTTTTGAGGAACCTCCATACTGTTTTCCACAGTGGCTGCACCAGTCTGCATTCCCACCAGCAGTGCACGAGGGTTCCCTTTGTTCTACATCCTCGCCAACACTTGTTTGCTGATTTATTGATGATAGCCACTCTGACAGGTGAGAGATAGAAACATCAATGATGAGAGAATAGAATCGATTGGCTGCCTGCATGCTCCCCACTGGGGATCGAGTCCGCAACCCAGGCATATGCCCTGATTGGGGATCAAACCGTGAACTCCTGGTTCATGGGGCCATGCTCAACCACTGAACCACACCAGCTGGGCAGGCACTACGTCTTTTGAGTTACTCCTTCACTTGCCCACTCCTGTTTTCCAGTTTAAGGTCCTAAAATTACGGATTATATATGGTCTGTTGTTAAGTGAAATAGTCTTGTGAAAGAACTATTGGGACAAAGATACAATGCTCGTAACATTAAACTATTTTTGGAGGCTCAGGATAATTTAGTACAGTGTGCTTCTTGTCTGTAGGATAGCCCAGTTGGTTCTAGCAGAAAAAGGACTCGTCTAACCTGGATCTGTTCTAAATTTGGAATATTTAAGATGGCAAGATCTCTGAACAGTAGACCTTATCTAATTTTTAAATTTTTAATTGGGCTGTCAGTTCCTTCCCTGAGAAGAGCACAACAAATTATAATCAGTTTGTGATTGTAAGTGGTTAAATTACATGGACACCCTAAACCCCATTCCTGTCTGGCAGCCAGATGGGACAGTTTCAGAGGAAAGAGCACAGACAGGGAATGATGAACCAGTAACTGCCCTTGAGGTAGATACACCTAGACTTGAACTCACAGACAGAACTGGCATTCGAAGTGAATGAGTTTTTCATCTAAAAGTCTTCAAAGACTTTCATCTAAAAACCTCTCAGAGATTGAAATTTATTTTGTAAATAAGTTGAAAAAGATTTAGAGCAATCTTATTTCTAAAATATGAAACTAAGTTATGCAAACATTTCTTACTTTTGATGAGATTTAAGTTATAATGCAGCTGTTACGCTGATTCTTAGAGTGAACAGAGAATTATTCAAATGCTGATTTTTTTTCTTCTTTTGGTTAGTTTATGAGGCCATTCATTCCCAGCATGATTAGGGGGCTGGGTGGGGGCGTGGAGGGATTGAGCAAAAAAGAAAAACAGAGAAAAAACTCATGAACATGGATAAGTGCTGTGATTTCCGGGGGGAGGGAGGCGGGGGAAGATGGAGAGTATAGGGGAATAAATGGTGATGGAAGGGTACTTGACTGGGGGTGGTAAACACACAGTGCAGTCAGTATACAGAGGATGTGTTGTGAAATTGTGTACCTGAAACCTGCATAATTTTGTTAACCAGTGTCACCCCCCAAAATTCAATAAAATGGGAAAAAATTAAAAATACATTTAAATTGCCTATGGGGGAAAAATGGAAAACATTTTGGCAGGACTATTCTAGGGCTTTATCATTTTCCTAAAGGGCCTAGTGCTTTGATTTATTTATAGCATTCTTTTGAAACAAGTATCATGTCATCATACTTAATGATTTCCTTATCAATTATAGGGCTTAATGTGTACAGGTTTTCCTTTGCCAGTGGTTTCAACTGTGATGTGAGCTGTTCTTCAATGTCATATTAACAGCAAATCTACTTACTTAAATTTTGAATCCATGTGTGGGGCAGATGCTACTATTAAATGACGGTTGTATATGTCTTAGGTGTGCACACACAATGACTAACTCTTCATCACACCACAAGTTTCCACCAGCTTGCTTGCTTTCTACTCCCTTCATAAAGCTAATGCTGGCATTGCTATGTATTTTCCCATTCTTATCAATAAGTGTCTTTTTATTGTTTTTTTCAGTATACATTTGATGTTGAAATTTCTTGCCACCTCTCCCATTACATTACCTTTTTATATTATTTGCTTTAATGATGAAAGACTCTTAGCTCATAATGTCTAATTGGTAGACCTTTTAACAATTTCTCTGTCAAGAACCATATAATGTAGTTGTTAAGGATATGGACACTGAAATCAGACCTCTATTTTATCATAGCCTTACCTAGTCCTTGGGCAAGTTACAGAATATCTGTGCCTCAGTTTTCTTATCTGTAAAATGAGTAAGAATAGTATTTCTCATAGTGTTGTTTTGAGGAGTTAAATGAGATAATTCTAGGAAAGTGCTAAGTTCAGTATTTAACTTTGAAACCACCAAATTGCACTTTGAAACTCTCCTGAAATAAACTTTAGAAAACATCCATCATGCAGCAGTCACTAGATATTTTCATTTAAAACAGAAGTGTGTGTTAGAATAGCTTTATAGAGACTTTCAAGTGCTAGTCTAGGACTTCTGCCAGATTGCATAATAATCACTTAAGGGACCCTGATTTGTGGGTCCTAACTTCAAAGATTCTGAAGTAAAAGACAGGATGAAGCAAAAAACCTGAAATTTTGGGGGGGCAAGGGGGTTAAAACTCCTCTGTTACACATGTATTAGTCGTTTGTTTGTTTTTTAATATATCTTTATTGATTTCAGAGAGAGGAAGGGAGAGGGAGAGGGAGAGAGAGAGAAACATCAATGATGAGAGAGTCATTGATCGGCTGCAGCCCGCAACCTGGGCATGTGCTCTGACCAGGAATCGAACCCCGATCTCCTGGATCCTAGTTCGATGCTCAGCCGCTGAGCCATGCCTGGCTGGGCACATGTATTAGTCTTAACAAAAGAATGAGTTAATAAGTCCAGCAAGGAAAACTAATTAACAAATCTATTAATCATTGTTGTGCATATCTTATTATTTCAAACATAGTTCATTTGTTTTAAAGAAACAAATGCTTTTAATTATATGTTACACCATTTTAAATTCTACAGTGAGCCTAGATCTCTATACTTAAGAACAGGTATCAGTACATATATTAATATATTCATGGGCTTTGATATTAATCAAGATATAACTTCAAAATGAAAATCAACTAATGAACCTTGACAAAAGAAACAGTAATAGTTGGCTCATTAATCTTTAATTTCCTCCCTGGTTTAGGCCTGGTTATAAAATATGTACAGAATTTTTATGTTACGGGTATTTTAGAATTACAACAGCCTTAAAATTGATTTCTTAGTTAACAATTGAAATGAGAAAAAAATCACATTTAAAGATTTACTATATTACGTAAACTGTTTAGGATTGATTTACTGCTAAAAATGATAGAAGATTCATTCTGATACATACACACTCACATTTGCATGTTCTTTGAATTGTCTCATAGGCTGTTGGGATTTGGAACCATGAGCTTGGACTTCCTGTGGTTCATAAGAATACTCTCAGTCATGTGTATTTAAAGGGCAGTAGATCCCAGATCTTTAAACCTGTTTTTCTTCCAAGACAACTTTAGATAGCACATGTTCAGTGAAACAGTCTTCAGACTTCTTTCTGTAGATCATTTTCCTTTTCTAAAGTACTTATGGCTTACCTGGACTAGAGCAATTTGGTGTATCATTCCTGGTTTTATCAATTCTTCATTGACCTGTAATTTTACTTTTGTAAAACAGCCCTTTTGTTTACTCCCAGGTTTTCTGCACATCAGTCTTTTATGCTCATCAGTATTTAATGTTAATAATCATAGGCATTAAAGTATATTCATAATATTTCATAACAAGATACTATTTTACTTTGTTAAACTAGAAGATACACTTTGTGCTTGGCTAACTTCAAGAATAGAAATACCTTGCACTATGAAGAACTATAGAGCTGTTTATTTTTATTTTACCCTCAGAAAAATATTGGTGCTAAAGTCTTTGCTTAAAGAAATAGAGCTTCTCAGTCATGTGGAATGTTTTAAGAATTAACAGTGTTCATGGTTCTTTAGGTCATGATCCTCATAACAGGCGCACACAAGGCATTTGCTCTCTACAAAGCAATAGAGGAAGGAGTCAATCACATGTGGACTGTCTCAGCGTTCCAGCAGCATCCCCGGACCATTTTTGTGTGTGATGAAGATGCTACCTTAGAATTAAGAGTTAAAACTGTGAAATACTTTAAAGGTGAGCACTGATATTTCAAAAGCAGAATGTGAGAATGTTCTGTTGTAGATGACAATTAAAATGTAATGTGATTGTGGAGTTATATCCTGCGCTGTGGCCTATTAAAAACTGGCATTGTGCTGACACAGTAGCCAGTTCTTTCAAGGAATAGAAATGATATTCAAAGAATATCTAACCTCATATAATAGCTTTCAGATACTTTCCTATTTTTTTTTACATGAAGAGAATTTCTTCAATCTATATTTTCACTAAATAAGATTTTTCCTGAAATCCAAAATTTAATAAAAACTTTACTTTCACATTGAATACACAAGATTAAATAACATAAAGGAAATGCATATATCTGTCCTTTCTGATTTTTTATCTGTCCCACTTCTCTCCCCAAGCTGTGTTTAGAATCTAATCAGCGAATAAGGTGGCTTGCCCACTATCTCATATAATCTTTACAATTTCAAACAAATTATTCCTTCATATTAAAGTTGTAATGGTTAAGTGTCAAACAGTATGTCATAAACTCTACAAGTACGCAGGAGTTTGCCTCGACTTCTGCATGTGTATTTTCTTCTTGCTTCTTCCAGCAGTCTAGTTCAGTAATTCTTAAACCCTAGCATACCAGGTTATATATAAAACCACATATACTTGATGAAATAGGTAATTTAAGAGATTTTCAGTTTAGAAGTCATTCCCTGCTTAAGAGTAAACTCCATATATAAATACACACACATAAACAAGCTGTATAAATAAGTACTCTTTATAAAGCACCTGTATTTATATAGCTGATATGAAAATATTATGTAATTGGTCATATATATAGGTGAGTAACCCATAAAGTATGTAATATGTGAATATAAACTTTATATTTTTACTCTAGAAGCTCAGTGTTTACTTAACATGTATAAGAAAAATTATACTGAACCAATCAAACCTATATTTCATGGATATCAAGGTTAAAGACTTTACCATATTTTACAGCCATTTAGACACATTTTTTTCCACTTTTATCTTGGTCCATAAATGGAATGTGTTTAAAATTGGTATCGTATCATAGTTTATCTGGTAGCATTTTTTTCTTAGTGATATATAAAATAATGGTATGTGTAACAGTCTTCAGCATTTCATATTCATGAAATATAGGACATAAACTTAAAAACTGTACCTCAATTGAAAGGAAACCAGTAACTCGTAGTTCATATTAATGTGTGACTATATCAAAAACGCAGAAGGTGACACACAAATGAAAGTTTGGCAAACAGTTAAAATAGTCTAATTTTTAAAACAAAATTTTGATCATGTGGATATAGTTTTATAATTTGCATTTACTGTTGTAAAAGTTTTCCTGTTTTACTAAAAATTCTTCAAAAGTATTTTTAATGGCTATATAATAGTCAAGTAGACATTTCATAATTTACAGATTCTTTCCAGTCATTCATATTTTTGGTAGATGTAAATTGTATTTTCCAGTTAGTATCATCAGCCAAGAAACATGAGACAGAGTACCTTCAAGTACATTGTCTAACACAGGTTAATTAAAAGTGTAAGAAGTGTAAAAAGTGTAAGAAGCAGGGCCAAAAGTAGTTGACATTCTTCATAAAAGTTGGCTCATTAAGTGATTTGAGAAAATAAAATGTAATATATTTCATTAAAAGCTCCACAAAGGTAGGGACTTGAGTTTTGTTTACTACATTATTTCAGCATCTAGAATTATGACTGGTACATTGGGGGTATTTGATTGGTGGTTGGTCAGGCGAAACCTTATCAGTTTAAGTGCTATATTATGTCAATCATACCATGAAGACCAGAGGATATTGAATGAGGGAGAGAAAATAGTTCTTGAAGAAAACTTTGAGCTGATGGTATTGAGAGCCCTGGAAGGAAGGGTAGCACAGATATAAGGATGAGCTAACATTGTAGCAGAAGAAGTTTGTTAATAGAACAGAACATTTAATGTGTATTGATAAAGCAGGGCTAGATTATCCTTTAAAAACAAAAGGGAATGTATAGATTAAGAAAGGCAAACCAGGGCTGGCTTGTCAGTGGCTCTTCACCTTTTTTGGGTCATAGACCACTTTGAAAATTAGGTGAAAAGAGACTTTCCTCAGAAAAATGCACATATATGGCACACACATATAAGTTTATATATTAATGCGGGAGATTTTCTTGCTGTTAGAGTCTAGGACTCCTGGTTGAGTTGATGCTATACCTGATTTCTCTCAGGTGGACAGCTTCTGTCATCAGTCTACTTCAGAGTCAGAGTTGGTTCAGTATTGACTACTTTTTCCTGTATAAGTTTAACTCGTTATGTTTAAATACGGAGTATTTAACTTTTTGTTTTTAACAATGATGGTACCTTAGTTTGTTTGTTTTTACTCTTGAAAATCCCAGTATTAGAATGAAGGCCATGGGCAAAAAAGCTAGTTTAGTTTAAAACTAGACTCCATGGGGAACACAAAGAATGTTCACTGAAAGAATGCTTGTGGATTAATTCTCACATTTGAACATCCAAGAGCCAATCTCTTCCCTATAAGGGCATAAAATTGACTGTAGCAGCCTTTATAGCACCAAAAGGATATGGGGAGGGGGTTTTATTAACCCTAAGAAAAATAGTTTTCATATTGAGCAATAAGTGTATTTCACATCCAGCCTCAGGGATAGCTTTGCATGAAACTAATGAATGAAATAGTCATTGGTTTGTCCACATATTCATGGATTTTTATCATAGGCTTTTTGTCAAAGCACTAGTAAGCATTTAGGGGTGGGGGTGGTATGTAACTTTACAGGAACTATCACTATGGAAACATCCAGATAGCTCTTAATACTTTAAGATATATATAAACCAAACATCATTATAAGACTTTTATGTAACACCTTGCTGACCAGCTGTTTTGAGCTAGGACTCGCCCATGTGGCCGGCTACTTTTCCATCGTGACCGGTCAGCAAGGTATTTAGAATTACTTAAATTAATATAAGCGCAGACCCGAGTTATCTCGTGAGTGCTCAGCAATGTTCAGCCACGGAAACACACGTCTCCTCGTGACTGGTGCTTAAGTACACTGCTTTCTCTTTTGAATTCTTGAACTGAGATCGCTCCATTTTATAAATAAGGCCATATAGCTAAATGGCTGCCGTATACCTGAGGCAGAGGCTGAACCGATCAAGGGCAGCCCAGTCAGCCATGTGACCATGAGGGTAAACAACCCATACTCTACAGTGTAATTTAAGTGCATTTTCAACTTAATGAGTTTATTGAGTGGTAACCCCATCGTAAGTTAAGGAGCATCTGTAGTGCCAACTGGTCTTGTTACGGAATTAAAAAAAGAAAAACAGTGGAGTGGTATGGCTTCAGCAGCTCATTGAAGTGTGAGACCATATACCAAGATTTCCAAGGAAATAGTTAAGAAGGAAACAAATGAATCTGGACCTTGTTAATGTAAGGTGCTGATTAGACCTAAGTAGGCTGTTGAGCAGTTAGCAGGTTAGCATTCTCTCACTTTCAGATGCACTAATGAATTTTCTCTCTTCTCTCCTTTTAAGATTCTTCGCTTCCGCTTTTTCTCCTACTACATGAACACGTCAGTGCTCTTTACATGTTCCTGTCTTCGCTTATTTCCTAAAAGCAGGTCCTCTTCACAGTTTAGATTTTAGAGTGCTTTTGCAGATTTCTGGAAAAGGATAATTTCCTTACTAACAAAGTACCCTATCTCCCCAATCCAATAATCCCATTTCCTGAGAAAACTGCATTATGAGTCCCTTTTCCCAGCTTCTTTGTTCTTAACAATCTGAAAAATTTAACTCATTTCTTTAACTTCCAAAATATGAAATCTTTAGTTCACTAATTGGGGCAATCTTTTTGTTTCCCCCAAAGAAATAGAGTATGTATTAGTAACTGGAAGATATTTCCCAAGAAGCTTTAATAAGAACAATTTACAAGCATACCAATTATAAGATGAAATTTAAATCTACTTGGAAATTAGTATTTAATACAGATTCTTTTCTGAATTATTTTAGTAAATCTCTCTCTGTGTGGCTTGTAATCAACTATTGTAATACACGCCAAAACTGGAAAATAACTTGCCAGATAAGTGGATACAGTATTCTACTGGGAAACTAAACCTATCCTAGGATTAGTGGACATTTGATCCTGTCCAAGACATCCATGGAGACATTTGGACCATGCCAAAAGTTCCTTGATAGTATTTTTTATGCATTAATTCTATAAAACAAAAGTATAAACGTTATGGGCTTATTGAACCCAGGGTGGTTTTCTAAGTGTGGACATTTTTGATAGGACCAAATTTGGTGTGGACCAAATCTCTCCATGAAGTGTTGGATGGGACCAAATGTCTTGCAAGGCCATCCCACTGGGACAGCAGTTGTGAGCCCTTCACTGGAGTCTGGTAGAGGAGGCAGGTCAAACTCCACACATGTACTTAAGTGTACTGACCGATCAGTACTAAGGCTGATCCTTTTGTCATACCGAAGCTCTGACTACAAGACCTGCTCCCACTTCTGTTACTTCAAAAGAACCTGTACACATTCTCCATCTAGATTCAGATAACTGTGAATTGATACTTACTAGGTGGTTAAAACTAAACATTCTGAAATACGTCTATTTGTATTTTTAAAATAAACTATTTTGTATCGGATGGGAACCTATATACTTACTTATAAAATCTTGTTTTCTAAAGTAAATTAGATATAGTTTAAAATTTAAAGTACAACTAGAACTCTGCTTTTTTTCTTTAAGGTTTAATGCATGTGCACAATAAATTTGTGGATCCACTATACAGTATGAAAGAAGGAACTGAAGGAGATTGGAGCAAAATTCTGCTTGAATGAACAGAACTTTAATAACAGATGAATTTGCAGCTATGCAGTATGATAAAACATGGGGAATTTTTGAAGATTGTCACTTTTAAAGTCCAATATATCTGTTAAACATTCCATATTTAGAATGTGTCCATTTTATACTAGGGTTTAGGAGAAGTAGTCGGGTCTTATAATTTATCAGCTGTTTAAAATACAGAGGCCACATAGCCGCTCTGTAAAACAGCACAGAAATGAAATATCTGCCTGTTCGAAAATTTCGTCTTTTTAAAGGTGAAGATTCTGTACATTAAGTACATTCATATGACTCCAGTGGCATTGTTAGATTTTATTTTTTAATCACATGAAGACACAACTATCATTGTAAACCTTTACTTTTGAAACGCTACCTTACATTTTTCTGTGCATTACACAAGCTTTCTGCACGTGGTTGCCTTAGTCATCTTTCTGCAGTAGCATCTGGACATCGAAAGTCCTGCTATATATTGTAGGTACAGAAAATCTGGAAAGACAGTGCCTAAAAGTACACATACGTCCTTCTCGAAAGTATGTATAAAGGCATGATTTTTGTTTACCTTTTTTACAGATGTGCTCGTTTTTATTTAATGACTTGGGTTCATGCTTTTAATACAAGTATTTTGGCAATTATGAGCTTTATACCTGGTAACACACTTAAGGAAATTCTTTTAAAGCAAATTTTCTGATTATTGTTAAACTTCATAAATTAGCTTTACTCCTTACATATGTCTAAAAGGATAATATAATGAAGTATATATAAATAATTATGTAAACTATTTTAGATTGCTGTAAAAACTTGCACCATTAAACTGCAAATAAAAGTATATTGTTTTTTATCTTTTAACTCCAATAAAGCTTATAATAAATATAAGTAATCTAAATTTTTTTTCCAGAAGTGAAATTGAATACATGCATCTGAGAGATTACAATTAATAGTGGCTCTTGTAGCTTGCATTTAACTTTTTGTTTATTGTCATCATACAATTAGGAGATTTAAGTTAAAAGACAATGACTCTGCCTATATTTTCTTAGTCTTGCTCCTCGGAGAGTAAAAAAGTACTACTTTTCCTCTGAATATTTTGCATGTTATAAGCCCATCTAGTAGAAGCATTATTTATGTACCTGCTTAACTGCCTTTGTGACTGAAATGCATTTAGTTAAGTTACCTAAAAAACTTAAATAGCAAATAAATTAGAAGTTAAATACAAATAAAACTTTGGATAAAATATACTGCTTTAATTCCAAATAATGAGGCTGTAAGAGCCTTAAGTGTTATAAATGGTTTGTAAATGACTACTCAGTCAGTAGTATCATCTTCCAGTCGCACCTGATGTTTAAGTATTGGTTACTGCAAACTACTTGTAACTACCTTACAAGGTCATGTATCTTAGTGAAAAAGCTAAAGGTGCCTGTTTTGGTGCTTGGTTCACCAGTTATTAACTACTGTGCTTTAAATGTGTTTGTGGAAACACAGTCTAGAAGGTCTTTCCATTACTGCCCCTGAGGATCAAGCTCCCCACCAAACTGCTTTCTGGCCACTCTAGTTCCTTAACTCAGGCCAAGATGCTGTTAAGGAAAGAACTAAGAAACCTATTGAAGATATTTCCACAAGAGGCAATAAAGCGTGGTAGCTAAGAATTGGGGTTTGGAGAAAGAAACAACTGTTTGAACGCCAGGTCTGTCAATAACTGATGTCAGAAAATAAAAACTCTGAGTTTCTTCCCCTATTGGAATGGTAACAGTGCCTGTGCCTTGATTGTTGTATAGACTGAATGAGCAAATACTTACGGAGCTCAACACAGTAGCTATCACAGATTAAACTCCATAAATGTGGGCATTCTAATACTCATGGTTTATAATATTTCAATATTTGCAAATTTCTTAAAAATATAAGGTCTTCTGGGGGATATACTTAGAAGATACACAACTTTAAATCATGAAAATCATCTGTTTGAGAGCATAGCCAAGGGAGAGAACTTAAACTTATGCTGAAAATTTTGAAAAATACTTTTTTGTACCATATTACTACCAGTAAAAACAATAAAAGAGAGTTAAAGGAAGAAAATGTATCCAAATTGAAAACATACCAATAAAGCACAAAAACTAAATAGATACATGGTGCATACTATGTGCCCAGTACCGACGTATAACTTTTCCCTAACAATAATGGTAGAGCAGAACACTTTGTTTAAACTGTATTTACATGCTTTTCCAGTTTCAAATATAGTGCCATTTTCCAAAATACTGTTGTCATGGAGTCTTATATTTCATCCATTTTACTAGAGCTAGAAGGGTGGGGTGGGGGGGGGAGATATCTGAGCTAATTTAGGACTAAATCACAAGTTATTTAACACCCTATATATACTTTTTTAAAAAAAATATGTCTTTATTGATTTCAGGGAGAGGGAAAGAGAGAGGGAGAGAGACAGAAACATGATGAGTCATTGATCTGCTGCCTCTTGCACGCCTCCTACCGGAGGATCAAGCCTGCAGCCTGGGCATGTGCACTGACCCGGGATCAATCCCACTACCTCCTGGTTCACAGATCGACGCTAAACCCGAGCCACCCTGGCCAGACACCCCCTATATACAATTTTAAGTAAATTCCCACTACCTTAATTTATAATTAAAATGATCATGTTGTAATAACCATGGTATAAAATTCATTGATATTCTTATCCTTAAAAGACATTTACCTCATCCCATTCAGTAAAACAGAAGACAAAAATCAATAGGTAAATTACACTTGACTCTTAACAGCCTGGGTTTGAACTGGGTGGGCCCACTTATAAGCAAATTTTTTTTCAATTAGCCTGTGCAGTTCAAACTGGCATTGTTTAAGGGTCAACTGGCAACTGGACCTGCATATGCAGAGGGCCAATTTAAGTTAAGCATGGATTTTCGACTGCGGGTGATCAGCACCCCTAACTCCTGCATTGTTCAAGGGTCCAACTGTATTTTAAGTTTTACAGTAATACAATCTGCCCTCTGGTTTGTTCACTGACTGAGTAAACATGGGAGTTAAAAGCATATGCTTTGAAGTAAGACAACCATTTACTCTGGCTGTGTGTCCTCAAGTAAGTGACCACTCTAAAGCTCAGTCTCAATTATGAAATCTAGACGGTAATTATTAAACTGTTATTAGTTACTGCTGCCGCTGATACCAAACCCCTATAAATAAGACAGCCCCTACCCTTATTATAACTTAGAGGTATACAGGGTGGGGCAAAAGTAGGTTTAGTGTTGTAATTACATGAAACAAAGTTTATTCTTGTATTATTTATTAATTATTGTATTATTTTCCATATAAACTGTAAACCTACTTTTGTCCCACCCTGTATATAAACCGTCTAGTGTCAAAGTAACATAAAAATTTTATCAAAAACTAGAGCACACCTAGCTAGTATGTTATCTGACTTAATAACTGACATATATCATCTAAATTTATCCAGCTAACAACAAATTGTTACTTATGGTGATTTTGAAAACATTTTCTATCATGGGATTGAACTAGGTGTTTAAATATGGGGTCTTTTTAGTGTCAGAAAAAAATATTCATGAGAACAAAATAGTTAAGATTTATTGAGCACTTACTATGTCTCATGCACTCTTCTGAGATAACCGTATTATCTTATTTAACAACCTATGGAGGTAAGTAATAGTATAATCTGATTTTACTAAATTGTAAACAGACTAAGAGAGGTAAGTAATTTAGTTTGCTAGTAAGTGGTGGAACAGAAATTGAAACCAGACAAATGGCTTCAGAGTCCAAGCTCTTACCCACTCACTACTTCCCTTCAAAGAAATGCCAGTAGGTTATTTATACATGAAAACCCTGAAAGCAACAAGCAAATTTTATAATTTTCATTCTGTTGTCAATGTATTATAAATTTATAAGAAAAACTAAAGGACACACAAGTTTTAATTCATAAAAATTCCTTATATTTCGCACCAGTTATTTATCAGGCTGTGTCTTCAGAACTTTTATAAAAGCATCCTTTGGAACTTCAACGTTGCCAACCTTCCTCAGTTTTTTCTTTCCTTCTGTTTGTCTCTTCAAAAGCTTCATTTTTCGGGTAATATCACCACCGTACTGAAAAATATTTTAAAAACTGGAAGTCCAAATCCCTCAGTAGAAAAGTCATCATACAATTACACAGCGACTTCAATACAACCTTGCAATTATCATGCATGAGTCCCTGGGAAAATATCTGCAAAGATACCTCTCTGGTCCTCTTCCTGGCAGAGCCCAGTTTTACTGCCTTCAAGAATGATAAAGGCTTTATTTACTTTTGGATGAAGATGACGATCTCAAGGAAACCCAGTACTACATTACGCACCAAGGAACAACTAACAATCTACTTACTGATTCAAGGCTTGACATTTTGGGTTATATAGCTGTAGTATAATACAGAAACTTACATAGGCATAAATGTATCAGACCCTATGCAAAGGATTTAGAAATAGCATTTATCATTTGCTTCTCATAATAACTGAGCTAAGAATACTTTTTTAAATAGATGAGACAGCAAAGCAGGGCAGGAGACGTGGGTCTCAATCCCATACTCTTCCCACTGTTTAGACACTGTCTTCAAAATCTTTCCTTATAAATTAGATCAACAAGACTTGATAACCTGTTCCCAACTGTTATAAAATACTTTCTTAGATAGTTTTCCATATAAGGAAATTTTTATAAATAAGATGAAAAAATATTTAAGACCATGATCAAAATTAACATGCTATCATAGTCAAGCTGGAATTTACCAATTTAAAAAGAAAACTTGAAGACAAAATAAAGGGTATTATAAAAACCAACAATGGAAACCAATATATTTATACCCCCTTAATTTTAAACTCATAAAGTAGATTATTACAAAGTAGAACACAGGTAGGTACGTACACATTTTGCCAAAACATTTTTCCTGTAGGCTTTCACACTGTAAAAGATAAAATATTGTGTAAGTATATAACTTCATTATACTGTTTAAAAGTACTTAATTTCAAAGTCTCTTTATTCAAGATTTAAATAATCATGTTAGACCTATGTAAAACTGTCGTAATTAATTAGGTAACTCAAATAGTGTTGCATTTTATTTTCATGTATTTGGGATAAAATAGAAAATGAATTCAACATGAGTACCAACATATATTTTATTAAAAATAAAAATGGTCAAGACTTGTGGGTAGCATTGATGAAGTCAAATTCAAGCATGATATGACTTTGATTATAAGAATTATAGGAGGTCATTTCTGGCTCAACTTATAAATACTACCACTTCTACTTCCAAAATAATTAATTAAATAATGGTTATTATTTCATTACTAACTCCACCTAATGTGGGTCAATACTGACTAGGAATATAAAGAACAATATATTAGTTTCATAGAACCCACTTTAAGGCAAACAAAATTTTAATATATCCATCCAAGTAGTTATAATCTATTTCTATAATGTTGCTAAGAATTTTGGAGGATAAGAAATTTGAAAGTAGCTCCACTTTTATGTATTCCATAAGATACACAAATCGAATTTTTCTTTATTGTTTACCTCAACACACTAATGTTTGCTAACTATCTAAACTGCACTTTCCAGGATGTTCCCAGGTAAACTTCATTCTGCCTAATTTCTGGGTATTCATGAAACACAATATAACCAACTCTAAAGCAAAATGGTTAGAAAATTAAATTTGTTGCAAATATTGGCATAAAATTTATTCCAAGACTATATAAAAAGCATGGTTGTATTTCACCACTACTGATACATTAAACTAGAACTGAAGAGCAATTTCCAACTGAGGAGGTACTTCCGATTTCCCAGAAGTGTTGACAATCAAGGGGGTAAAAATAAGAAATTGCTGCAAGATACTTCCTGCACTTTCTATTACTAGTAGGGCAGTTTCTTCAATGATCTGATTTGGGCATCATGTGTCATGAAAAAGACGTTTCCTACACAAATTAGCCTATCTTCCATGTCTCCTGTATCACATGTGAAGTCTGTATTCTAGAATGTAAAAGTGTACCATGAGATTAGCATTCCCCTCTCACCTTCCAGTATACAACCTGACTACCTCTGAGGGATGCTTCGAGTAGTAATTGTAACTTAGTTTTGTCTTTTGGAAGAGTATCTCCAAAACCTTTTTAGTTTCAGTTCCTATTAATTTATAATCTACTTGAAGGGATTAAAACCATAGAAACTTTACAGAAATTTCTTACCCAGGAAACTCAATAGCCATTCAATAAAATGAGAAACAAAACAATTCCTCAAACCCATATATACTATTAATAAATGTAAATATCACCCAAAAGTGTTATGTAAATAATTAAAAGTAACAGTCATCACTTAAATTAATGGAATTTAGAGCAGATTAATGTTTCTACAAGTAGTAGTAAACCTCAGGGCGGTGATTTTCAACCTTTTTCATCTCATGGCGCACACAAACCTAATTACTAAAATTCTGCAGCACACCAAAAAATAAATTTTTTGCTGATCTGACATACACACACACACACACAAGGTATAATTTTGATTCATTCACACCAGATGGCTGTTGTGTTGGCTGTTGTCTTTTTTTATTTATTTGACAATCTAAGGGAAAAAAGGTCAGTGTCCCTGACTAAATAGTCAGGGATTGCATGTTTTAAAAATTCTTGCAGCACACCCACTGAAAATCACTGGCTTAGGCCAATATTAACATTAAATTTTTCAATATTTCATTTTTATGAATAT